TAATCAGCTGGCTCCAAAGCAGGGTGGCGTGGCACAAGGCAACAGCTGCAGGTGGCAGGGGACAGCAGAAGCAGCAAGAGCAAAAGTAGGGGCAAGCAAGCCTCTTTTGCTCCCTCTGTCGTACGCAGGCATCCCGCCTGGGCAGGTGCAGCAGCCAGGCCATCTCCCTATTCTCCTCTCACACAGGCTCAGGATATCTACAGTGGGAGGACTCTGGCCTCTGCTGAGTCACTCAGTGAAACTTCTAAGCTTCTCACCTTGACACAATGAATCAACCATTACAACATTCTAGAATGTACATGGCCTCCCTAGGGCAAGTTCTCTACACCCTGGAATGTACAACTGCTCAGTTACTTAGTGAAACTTCTAAACTTCTAAAGTTGACACAATAAATCAACCATAACATTAGGCAATTAGAGTTTCAACAGTTTCTGTACTACAAAGGAGGATAAGTTGAAAAGCTCAAAAATGATATTATTTTGAAGATGGAAAGGTTTTGCATCATAATTCTATAGGTGTTTACATGGTTGTATACATGTACTAAATTTAGACTGAATACTTAAAATTGTGATTAACTATAAGTAACTTTTAGTTCAGCAAAGTTGGCTTATAGGGCTGAGGAGATAGCCGGGTGGCATAAGTACCTGCCTGGCAAGTGTAAGGCTCCAAGTTCTATCCCAGGTACTGCATGCTGGGTACACTGTGCCAACCCTGAAACTAGGCATGGGGCCATGCACCTGTAATCCCAGCACTAGGGAGGCTGAGTTAGGAGGATCGCTATGGCTCCCAACTGTAGTGAAACCCTGTATCAACACAAACAAACAACAACAACAAAAAGTTGACTTACAAAGATATGTAGTAAAAATTAGGCAAAATTCAAATTTATACTTTTATTCTAATTCTTTTAAAATACTTTTATTAGTAAATATTTACATTATATAATGAGTATGTTTCTTGTGGGGAATGAGTACAGGTACATAACACATCACAATTATTTTTTCATCTTTTTTACTTCCCCTCACTGCTTATAAAAGAGAGATTTTAATATTTAAATTTGTGTGTCTGAATAATATCCATAATTATGGTGTAATTATGTACTGAAGCCCACGGATTCATGATAGTGGGTGACTTCGTCGATAGTATGGAGATTTTTTTTAGTTCATGTGTACTTTTCAGTCAGTGATGAACTCTGGTCATGGCTAACTATAGGCCTCCGCTTCTGTCCCTGAATCCCACCACCTCTGCTTACCTGGGAGGACAGAGAGCAATGTCAGCGGCTCAGTGCCCACTTCTCTGGGATTAGGCCATGGTACTGCTAACAGCACCAGGACAATACAGGCATTGGCATATGGGGAAAACTGCCTGATGGCATCAGCTGCAGCTCAGTAATAAAGCCAGCAACAATAATACCATCAAAGACAGAGTGTATGGGCTGGGGAGTTAGCTTGGAAGTCTAAGTGCCCGCCTGGCAAGGGCAAGGACCCGGGTTCAATCACTGCCACAGCATGCTGTGCCAGCCCTGGAACCCAGGGCCTGCCGTGCTGGCCACTGAAACTGGGCATGGTGGTGCACACCTATAATCCCAGTACTGAGAAGGCTAAGACAGGACGATCAGTACAAGGCTGAGCTGCATTGTGAGACCCTGTAATAAATAAATAAAAGATTTAAATTTTTTTAAAAATGAAAAATTATATGTAGATATGCCCTAAAATTCAGTAATATATCCACCCTTAACCACAGACAAGAGTTCTGTAAGTAGAATACAAATGTTTTTTGTTTTTTTGTTTTTTTTTGCAGAACTGGGGATTGAACTCAGGCCCTTGCGCTTGCCAGGGAAGCACTTATTCCACTGAGCCATCTCCCTGGCCCTAGAATACAAATGTTAAAAAATCCCAAATATTTACCTACAGCAAATAACCACTAAATGGAAAGACTTTACTACAATAGATCAATATTTAAAAGTTATAATATAGTTAACTACCTAAAAATTCATTCAGTTTAATGGTTGTACTAGTAAAGACAGAGATAGTAAGAGTCTTTTATTCATTTTTATTTATTTATTTAGCTGTACGAGGGTTTGAACTCAGAACCTTGCAAAGACAGAGATAGTGTATATCCAGAGAATATAAAAAGTAAGATTTGAAGGGCCAGCCAGATAGCTCAGTAGATTAAATCACCTGCTTAGGCAGATCCAGGGACTGGGGTTCGATCCCTGGAGTGCTGTGCTGGCCCTGCCCCAGGGCACGCTGCGATGGTGATTGAGACTAGATGTGGTGGTGCGTGCCTATAATCCCAGGGCTTGGGAGGGGAAAACAGGAGAATCAGTATGAATCTGATCTGTGAAGTGAGACCCTGTAGTCCCTGTATTAAATACATTAAAAAAAGAAAAATAGTAAAATTTGAAATATTAAAAAATTGAAGATGAGAATATGAAAATGAGATCAGAGACTCAATTGAGGAATAAGATTTAATGATGTTAGATGATAATAACAGAAAAGAATGAACTTGAAAAAGAAAAAGAAACAGTAGAGGGGCCGGGGAGATGGCTAATAAGCGCTTCCCTGGCAAGCGCAAGGGCCTGAGTTCAATCCCTGGTTCCACGAAAAGAAAAAAAGAAAGGAAGGAAGGAAGGAAGGGTAGAGAACCAGAAAGCAAAATAAAAGAAAATTTTAAAAAAATTTAATGGAGAATAGAAAAAAGAAAAACCAAACCCCAAGAGATTAATGAAAGAAAAAAATACATTTAATTAAAAAATTCCTTGGTGTTTTTGAATGACTGCTTTTTTTCCTTCACATCTGTAGCTTTTTCAATCCAGGAAATCGTGGTTGTCCCATCTAGATTATGGCCTGTGGCGTGTGGGGCGCCCTCCATCACCAGGGCCCTCTGTGCATATGCTCTGGACCGTGGCAGTGAGCCAAGCCGAGGCATATCCTTAGCCACACTGGCGGGTGGACTAAGCCCTCTTGTCTCTGCAGACACTGGCCATGGGTTAGGGTTTGGAGCAGCCGCTGGACTTAGAGCCAACACTGTCCGCTCCAGCCTCCCCTGAAAGCCACACTCCCGAAGCTCGCACCCCACCTACTGGGGACTCGGTACCATGCCCTTACTTTAGCTGTGACCTGTATGTTCAGAACCATGCATCCTCTGGCCAGCCAGCAAGGGGGCTCCCACACACCCAGGCAGTTCAGGAAAGCCCTGTACTTAAAATTATTGGGTTGTTATAAAGGACACTAATGAACAGAAGAAATGAAATAGGGTAGAAAGGCGTATAGGTAGGTGGAGATGGAGCTTCTATGGTGTCTTCGGGTGTACCAATATTCTAGCATGTTAATTTGCTTAAGACCTAAAATTTCACCAAACCTCACTGTTTCAATTTCTATTGAATTTCATTTTGTCGAGATCATGCAATTGAACTCGCTCTAGGCCTCCTCTCTCTAGAAGCCAGAGGAAGCCAGGCACATGATTAGTTCTTGTGATAATCAGCCTCCCTCCATAAAGAGTAATGAGATGGGGAGGAGAGCTATAACTTAAAAGGGGCCAAAGAGCTACAACAGTATTTGCAATGCTGCGGGGAGGTAGCTCAGCAGCAGAAGTGCCTGCCTGGCAAGCGCAAGGTCCTGAGTTTGATCCCAAGTACCCCCAAAAAAAGAAAAGCAATGCTGAGAATGGACTTTATAGGGATTACTATTGGAACAAATTATATAAAATTGAGACAATCAGGAAAATTTTAACATAAATGGAAGTGTTTAATAAGGAATAATTGTTTAAAAGTTAGCATAGTAATGGTTTAGGAATAATACTTTAAAAGCATTTATATATTTTTAGAATAAACTTTGAAATATTTACAGATGTTGTGAAATGATGTTTCAAATTAGCTTCTAAATAATCAGGATAGAGTAGCAGGAACAGGTGGAATATAGAAATATTAGGATGGACATGAATTGCTAATAATTATTTTATTAATTTAAATGCAAAGGGAAAGGAGATTTAGAAAAAGAACTAAGATCTCTTATGTACATATAACCACTCCCTACAACAAATGTAACTATTATGTAACGCAAGCATGCATTAGTTAGAAAAATGAAAAGATAAAATAAAATTTACAGGGCCGGCCAAATAGCTCAGTAGATTAAAGCACGTGCAAGCAGGCGCAGGGGCTGGGGCTTCAATCCCTGGGCCTGCTGGGCCGGCCCTGCCCCCATGGCACACTGAGACGACAGTTGAGACTGGGCGTGGTGGTGCGCTCCTATAATCCCAGCACTTGGGAGGCCGTAAACAGGAGAATCACTGGGAGTCCGATCTTTCTAGTCATTTAATTGTAAGGAAGGCTATCATACCTTAATTGCTTTTACTATGGGAGGCTTTTCAGTTAATATCTGATTGTCAACTAGTACATTGGAAAGAAGTTCCATCTTTATAGTAAGGGAGAACAAACAGATGGTCCTGGGTGTGCGCAGCAAACTGAAGTGGAGAACTTGGGATCTTCTCAGCTATGGAGACGACTCTAGATAAGCTGGCCAAAAAGACAAGCCTTACCTTCAGTGGGGTGATGAATTATAAGTGCGGAAATCCAGTGTTGAACCAATGTCCTCGTTTTCATGAAAGTCACTTTTCCTAGGTGGTGGTAGGGGGATTCGCAAATTAAAAATGAGATAATTTTAGAAAGCTATGAATACTATTAAAGAAAATGAAACTGCAGGCACCAAGAGTGGACGAGTGGCAGTTACTTTAGATAGGCTGTCTCGGGCATGCCTGCTAGAGGACCGTGGTACCTGCCTCCAAAGGGAGGCTTGGATTCAGTTCCCTTTGTGAGCTTCTGCCTCCTAGGCTTTTCTTCAACATAAATCCAGTGACATAAATTTTATCTCCAACTGACATTTAACCTCATTGTCACTTGCATAAATTTTGAGCATAGTAATCATACAGCAACTGTTTTGCGTTGTGGGGTCTTAATATCTTTTTCATAGTTAATTTCTTTTCTAAGAAGGAAAGCCTGGTGTTGATAACCTTGACGCCACTCTGGAGAAGCTGGGAACGGACCGTCCTGGCGAGGACTTTGAAGGACAGCTGCACCATCAGCCAGGTAACTGTGAGCGCGTAGACACTGCTCCCTCTTCCTCGGGAGCGCTTGGAATGGTAGTTTATCGTGTCGTGCTCCTAGCGCTTTAATGTGTAGCCTCCCACAGACAGCTGGTACGTATCTGAGGAGAGTCTAGCCCAAAAGTGAGCAATTTTATTTTGTATGATATTTTAGAATAGTCCATGTTTCTTCAGTTAAGGTCAAAGAAACAAAGCTTGCTCAAAACTCTGGAGAAGAGAGACACACAATGTGTAAAAACGTGAATACAAATGTTTGTTCTTAAAGATGAAGTAGACTGAACTGCAAATAGAAAGACAGAGACAAAATGCTGAGTGGACATAATTGCAGGTTAGCATACCAGCTAGTGAGCCTGCTCACCTGGGGGTGGGCGTGCTCACGGTCGGTGCAGCCCCGCTGCAAGGGGCTTGCTCCCGCAGGGCCGGTCCAGCAGCCTCGCTGGGTGCGTGGAGTGGAGCAAGTCCCGCGGTATGAGTCTGACGGCTACGTTTCCAATCGCATCCGAGCCTTGTGAGTTCAAAGTTTGAAGTTTTCTGAGTTTTAATATCTTTATATGTTTTTTTAAAAAGTTGTGATAACTTCACAAAAGTTTGAGAAATGGTATATGAAACCACAAATCTAACACATGGCTCAGGAGACATTTATTAAATTTAATTGCTTTCCTTTGATAAGAGAGCAGTGGCTGGAGAGCAAATCTTTGGGAATACTTTTAAAATTTTTGCTCTAATGCTGCAAGTAGAGTTTAACCCTTACAATGTTTAAAGAAAAGAGGGTACTGTTGTCAGAAAGCTCACTTTCCACTTTAGGAGGAATTCTAGAAATATTAGTATAATTAAAAGCATGGAACATCATTAATTTCCTATGCTTTGTTTCACAGTATAATTCCATGTTATGTTTGTGAATGTCATTGTGGCCTCTGATTTCTGTTTTGTTTTACAGACGACGGAAAAGTTCAGCTACCGAATGAAGCTATGGTGTTTGTGGGTAAGTTTCTCTCCAACCTCCCAAAGCGAGAGGCCCCTCTCTTCCTGCTGTGCCGCTCAGTGCTGGGGAAGGGCTGGTGTGAGCAGCTTTTTCTTCCTGTCTCCTTTTTCTGATTTTCTTAGCGCTCATGAAGAGTCTAGGGTGTGAATAGCTGCTTCCGTTAGAGTTGTGGCAAGATGACTGGTGGAGTGCTCCACTCTGATGCCCGGAGCCTCCTGTTCTAGCACTACTTTGTTCTACTCTCTGTTGAATAAGTCTTAAACATTTTCCTGGTTTTCCTAAGCTCTTAAAGAAAAAGGTTGATTCAGTGATTTTCACAGTATTCTAAGGAGTATGCCAATTAACTTGATAGATGATTCAGTTGGTGAATGCACGTTACTTGCTGTGTTTGTTGTAAGGCTATGTGTGATAAAAATTGTAATGTATTAATACTAGCAAACCATTCACTAATGAGTTCTTGCATAAAAATTAAACAGGGACAGGGAGATAGCTCAGTAGAATAAGTGCTTGCCTGACAAGTGCAAGGGCCTGAGTTCAATCCCTGGTTCCGCCAAAATAAAAAATAAAAAATAATTTTAAAAAAAGTTTAAGGGCCAGGGAGATGGCTCAGTAGAATAAGCGCTTCCCTGGCAAGTGCACGGGCCTGAGTTCAATCCCTGGCTCTGCAAAAAAAAAAAAAAAAAAAAAAAAAGAAAAAAAAAGAATTAAACAGTGTACAGTGGTATACTTGAACTACTACTAGGCCTTAAAATATTTGGGCTGGGGAGATAGTTCAGTTGTCTAAGCACCTGCCTGGCAAGTGCAATGGCCCGGGTTTGATCCCTGTGACCACATGCCAGACCCCAAACCCTGGACACACTGTGCTGGCCAAGAAAACCGGGTGTGGTGGCACACATCTTTAATCCCAGCACTGGGGAGGCTGAGACAGGAGGATCACTGTGAGTCGGAGCTACATAGTGAGACCCTGTACCAAATAAATAAATACATAAAAAGATTTAAAGTTTAAATATAGAAAAGAGCAAAATTACTGTGAGGGAGCACAAAGAGAAAGTTGGGGAGTACTCACAAATAGAACCAAATTAAGGTGATGTATGTGTAACATGCACGTGAGTATGTATATGTAACATGATCAAATTTAGTGCACTACTAACTGACATGCACAAAACGGAGGCACCTTTATTTTTTTCTAAGTGAATTCGCTTCTCTCTCAGTCTTGAATCTTACTCTGCCTGTGATTTGGGTGTTGAGGGGTGAGGGATGGACTCAGTTGGCCCATGCAAAGTAACTGAGTTTTTTCTGGTTTAACAGAAAAGCTATCATTTGGGTTGACTCACTTTTTAAAGAAAGTTATCAGTGTTCCAGTATTCCACCCATTTTTCTTCAGACAGGCGCAGGAAAACCTTGGGTGTCCTCCTGGTAGTAGAGAAAGGCTGTGAGACTGGGTGTTGGTGTCCAGATTCTTAGTGGCCTCTTTAGTAACTTGTCATAACTGAGAAATTATGCATTGCTCAGAACTATGAATTCTGAGAAATTGTGGAAATCCCCGGGATGACACTCCTGCGGAAGCCACGCCTGAGGGGCTTCTGTCTGTTTCTCAGCAAAGTCACTCTGTGGGCTTAGTCCAGCTCAGCATGCGCACTCACTGGGGCTGAGGTCCTGTGCGTGTCATGGGGAATTCGGAGTCCCCGTCCCGTGTACCTGCCCTGGAGCCTCCTCTAGAGCCACGCTGCTCCTTCTGCTGGGGTTCTGCAGAAGCCCCGGCGCCTTCAGCCTCAACCGACTGCGCTGACACGCGTAGAATAATTGAGCTGCTTCCGCGTCACACAAAATCTACAGGAGAACGAGGGAAGCCCGCTTCCACCCCTGCCTCTGCCGGTGTGCACCACGCCGCAGTACCAATTCTGTGTACAAGGGCGTGGTGGTGGTTGGGACGCAGGAGGCGCCGCGCACGACCTTCCTCTCCGGTTGCAGCTTTGTCCCCGCCACGCGCACACAAGGGCTGGGCAGAAAATACACACTGCACGTATTTCCCCTCAGAAACACTGCCCTCCCCTATCCTTATGCCACCTCCTGAAGGGTTCTGGAAGAGCCCTTTCCTGAGGAAGTTTCAGAGTGGCGAGAAAAATAGACATTTTGAAAATGGGAAAGAAAGAGGAAGAAAGGGCTGGAGAGATGGCAAGTGAAAGGGTAAGCAAGGGAAGTAGAAGGAATTAAGATGTGTCCTTCAGAATGAAGGAGTGCAAACAGGTACCAATAATGTTTTCATCAAAAAAGAACGAATGCATAAACTAACACAAATGATGACAACGTATGGTGAACGCTGCCCCTAGAGCTGTCCCAGAACAGGCAGGCTCGTAACAACGTGAGGCGGGTCCTGCCCACCGCCGTCGCTGGACCTGGTGCTGTGTGACTTCCAGCTCTTCCCCAGAGTCAAAATGACGGTGAGAAGTAAATGACCTAAATCTATTCAGGAAACGGAGGCAGCCATGCGAGCAGAGCTAAAGACACAGAAGAGGACTTCCAGAGCAGGCCAGAACGGTGGACAGAGCGGTTGGCCTCCTCCTGGGGGAGGCTACTGGATGGCCATGTTTCTTTTGCTGTCATAAATATTTTTAAGATTTGTTCTTTTTTAAAAAAATTAATTTTATTGAGAAAGAAATAGCAATGAGACAGTTTCAAAACAGGTCAGTAGGACAGCTACAATAATTAATTATTTGCATATTGTCTTCATAGTAGTTATTCACAGTACAAGATGCAGACATGAAATCTTGTGTAAACACTATTAGTACAAATCTTTCTTCTCATTGAACTAAGAGAAAGTAGCTGTATATCTAACCTAACTAATTTGTGTATACAGATGTATACAATTTTTTCACTACAAAATGGTCCTTCATTTATATCCCCTTTTTTGTTTAATTTTGTCAGAGACGGGTATTCCATTGCCATTCAAATGTTGTAGGTGTGTGAATTCAGCAGAATAATCCAATATAGTCCAGTAGTCCATAATAGTAGTGGGTTATCCGCAGGACTGGCAATGTCAGAAGTTGTTGACTTGAGCCATTTACAGCTAAGAAATGTCGAGAAGGATTTTTTTATTTTTTTATTTTTGGCTGGCTCAGGCTGCCTTAAGGGCAGGTCTGGTCAGGCACGTGGAGCTGGGGATTGAACTGCAGTATCCTGTGCCTGAATGCATTTGCATAAGCAGGCGCTTAAACAACTGAGCTAACCCACAGTCCCCCATATTTTTTAAATTTGAGCCCCAGTTCTTTTTCAATCACACATGCCTGGTGTTTTACTTCTACTTTAGCTCCCCTCAAGGTTTGCCTTGGAGCTGGGTATAGTACTGCGGACAGCAGGCAGTAAGAACAGTTAAACCTCCTCTTTTTAATAGCTACACAAAGGAGACATAGATGAAGGATGACAGAAGGATAGATAGATTCCTGTATTTATTTTCAAGGTTGCACTTTCTTAGCACATAAAATGGACTTCTGCTTTCCTCTTACAAAAGGTTTTAGAAGCAAGAGAGAGAGTTTCCTGTATTAAACTGTGGTCTCTTACTGCTCTAGTTTGCCATAAGTTTACCATACTTTGAGATTTTCTTTGTAGATTAGAAAAAAAATTTTTTTGATCTGAGATAATATAAATTCTCCAGCTAAACAGGGAAAGGCTTCCTAGAAGAAAGGATACGTGAAAAAGAAATGAAGGGTAAACATTTTGGACCTCCCTTTCATATTTTTATAGGGATGGATAACCCTGAGCTATAAGGCAAACAACTACACTGTTTATGACATTTAAGCTGCTGTACAACTAGGTTACATGGTAGTCACTGTAATCTTAGCATTCGAGTCAGCTCCAGGAAAAAGATAGTAAATCTGAGCCCAGCTTGAGCAATTTAGTGACTTAATGAGACTGCCACAAAATAAAAAGTAGTGGCTGGGGCTGTAGCTCAGCGCAAAAGCCCTAGGCTCGTTCTCTTATGGAACTAAATAAATAAACAAACACCCCCAAAGTACTTATGAATCCCCTCCTCTTTGTGAGCTTGGTTTTGGCTTGTGTTTAGCTAATAGTAAGGGATATCAGAATGAAGTCTCCTCTGGGTTGAAACCTTAAAATAAATGATGGGTCAGTAAACATTTCTCTTTTTTTGGCTCCGAATGCCTTCAGGGCAGGTTTGGCTGGCTTGAGTTGTGGGGATCGAACCACAGCAACCTGAACCTGACTGCTTTGTTGAAGCAGCCACTTAAACAACTGAGCTAAGGGGCAGGCCCCCCCAGCAAAGAATGCTTGATTCACCCCTTTTGATCCTGCTTTCTAATTGCTTAGTAAAAACTCTAACTACTCTACAATATAGTCATCCAATATAATTTGGATTATTTCCCCTTGACAAAATTTTCGTTTTAAATTTATTTATATTGATTATACTTATGTACATTTTAACACATTTTCCTAGAGAAGAGCAAGTTAATTGTGAGATGTAGAAGAAAGTAGTAGCAGTAAGGATTGCACTTAACTTCTTCAATCTTGTTTAGGATAAAAAAGAAAACTGGCCCTACTTTGACGCAGAAGCAGTTATTAAAATGGACCAAGCTCCTGTCAGGTGCCGAGCCTCGAGTCCCGGGCCTTCCCACACGTGTGGCTTTATCCCCACAGAAGGCCAAGACAAATAGAATTATCTTCATTTCATAAAGCAGACATTTTGAAAACAAAGAGGCTAATTAAGTAAATTACAATTGCTAATAAATAGTAAAGAACAGTGTTTAAACCAATGTATTCTTACTCCAGAATAACACTTTTTTCAGCTCACTAGAACTTTCTATTCTAATAATAATAATAATAATAATAATAATAATGATAATACACTGGGAAGGAAATTTTGTTCCTTTTAAAATGTTGTGGTGTGTATTTTTATTTTCCAAGTAATAATTAAAACAAGTAAGCCTGAGTCTACCCATATTGAATCTTAAGGCTTCTTGGCAAAAATCTGTAATTCATAAGCAAAATTAAGTAGAATATTTTAGTATTAGTAGGAATGTTTATATGTTTTTCTCTTTCCTAAGGAGATACAATAGATATTCGAGACTTGGACAATGTACTAGGCAATCTGGGGATTGAACTCACCAAAGAAGAACTTGAAGAGCTGGAAACAAGCCTTGCAGTTGATGGTAACTCATTTTAAATGTTAAAGGGTTCTTTAGGAGAGTTTGGTAGTCAAGGTTTATATATGAGTCCTATTTCTTAACCTGATTAATTCTATAATGAGAAAATACTCAAAAGCCCAGAAAAATCCAATTCTAGAAGCAGAACCAAGTCCGTCTTCATTTTCTAAATCCACGTAGTGTACAAAAGCATTTGGTTAAATTGAGTCTAAGACCATCTGTGACATCAGCGAAGGCTTAGGAAGCAGAATGAAAAGGTAGAGAAGGAAGTGAATAGAAGGAAGCTAGTGCCCATCCTCCCCGCCTTTCCCACTCACGCTTCCCACTCAGCCCCTGACTGAACTCGCTCTCATGTCGTCTGGGTTTGCCACGTGCCGGTCGCACAGGACAACACCCATTCTGCTTCTCATACCCTGTTGTCTTTGGTGTTGATGATACTGGCCTTCTTGAAGTTGTGTTCCCTTACTTCAGTGTTGGCTCCACTTCAACTTTCTATTCCTCTCTGATTTTTGTTTTGCCTACTCCTTCTGGAAAATTTCTTTGATATCCATGGTTTCACTTATCATCTAGAGGCTACTGATTTGCAAACCTGTGTTTTTATGTAGACCTTTCTCCTGGGCTTTAGACCAGGAGGTATTCCCACTTGTGTATTCCACAGGAAGCATCATTATTGAATTTATTTAAAATGAACTATTTCCCCTGTTAGTCTTAGATTATCTGTCTTGTGCTATCAAGTCACCTAGTTATACAATATTCATTTTGTAAAGGAAGGAGAGTGTGTGGAGATTTCAGTCCATAATCAGCTGGCTCTGGGGCCGGGGAGATGGCTCAATAGAATAAGTGCTTGCCTGGCAAGCGCAAGGGCCTGAGTTCAATCCCCAGTTCCTCCAAAAAAAGAAAAAAGAAAAGAAAAGAAAATTGGCTGGCTCCAAGGCAGAGGGGCACATGGCCGGGGGCAGCGGGGGGGATACAGCAGAAACAGCAAGAGCAAAAAAGGAGGAGCAGCGGCCTATTCGTTTTTGATTCACTGCTGTTACCTATAACCCATTATCTGGTCAACCCACTTTATGATGGCAGTTTTACTTGAAATTACCATACATACATGGATAGATGGATGGAAGGCTATATTTACACAGTAGTGTAGTGAAATGTTGCTAGAACTTAGGTGATGGGCATATGAGCATCTTTATTGTGCAATTTTAACTTCACTATACTTCTGTGAATTTTTAAAATAAAAATTTTAAACTAATTATGTTTATTGTATGTACATTTTAGGCATGTACAAGGATCACACTCACCACAGGGAATTGTACCTGAATATGATACAACTTCATTCTTTCTTACCATTCCTCTACCTGTTTTCAACCACCCTTCCCTAAAATAAAAATTTTAAAGCATCTCTCATATATAATCCATTGGTGTCTCCCGCTCCCTGCTGCTGTCCTTCAGGTCCTTTTAGTCTCATCTTCACTACTGCGGTGACTTCAGCCTCAGAGAAAACCATAGAAAATGACAATCTGACCACATCACTCCTAAATGCAGACTTCCAGTCCACTACTACAATATGTCTTAAGTCCCTTAAGATAGCAAGCATTCATAATATGGATCCTGCCAATCCACATAACCTGATATTTTTTCATCCAATAAGATTGAACTTTCAAAAAAAATTGAATTTTTGGTCTATTTTATATTATGAAATATAATCACCTTATGTCACCTTTATTTTATATTGTGCTTTTACTCTTCCTTCCTTTGTTTATATCCCTTCTACTCAAAAAGCCTCCCTTTTACTATCATCTGAGGAACTCCTCATTGCTTATCAGAGTTAAGAACCACTTTCTCCAGAAAGGCTTTAGCTCCCCGGGCAACACTGGGTGCCTCTTTTCTGTGTTGGCACAGTTTTCTGGGTTTGCATATATTTTTCCTTATATCCGTATTGTAATTATATTTATCCACCTAGTTTGTCATTTTTAAGTGAGATTTAGAGCAGAAAAGGGTGTATTATTCATCTTCAAATACCCAATATCTAGATGAGGACCTGGCGCTTTGTACATATTGAACAAGAGATGAGAGATGGGCAAATGAGGGTAGATGAGAGAGGGAGTGAATGGATAGATCTGCATACAGTGGTTTCCACCTAAGTGAGGAGCCTCTTTCAGTCAGTAAGCATTTACTTCTGGTGTAATGTAACCACTGCTGCAACAGATCTGAAGGGCAAAGACAGCCAGAGGCTGCTAGGGAACAGACCAAGAATGAGTAGATGCTCTTCTTTTGCTGCCAGAGACCAATTAGTAAAATTCAAGTCATGACCAGATTGGAGGGTCTCCAGATCTTTCTATCATGATTATAAGGAGCATCATACTCTAGTAAGAACCTACTGTCCCCTGGGCCAGAGTTTATGATTCAATAATCATGGGCCAATCTATTAATATAGAAGCAGTCCTTGAAAACTAATGTTATACAATTAAAGTACACATAGTGATGCATAATAAAAATTTTTAGTTAGTTTCTAGATCTCTATATTAAAATATTTTTGTTCTGAATTTGTGTTACCTTATAGTTAATGGTAAGACTGGCCTGAAATCACTGGTGGA